GGCCACCTCCTGCGCGTGCCACGTCCACTCCCCCCCTCCATGTTCGGCATTTGTTATGGGAGCTCAATCCGAATAATGCCTGTTGTACCCTGATTTGCCCCCCATGTTGGTCCAGTGTGTCTAAAACGCGGCCTGTTTAGGAGACCGTAGATTTCGACGATGTCCACCACGAGTGCCAGCAGGCTGAAGGCAAACGCAGTGACTTCCACCAGATTATAGTGAAATAGACTCGCGGAGAATCTACCCCACTCTCTCACCACTCTCACATCGGACCTGATGTCAAAGCAAAAGTCAAGAAGAGGGCGGGAGATGGGGGAGGGCGCAGGCGTACATACATACCTTCATACCGTCACACGCGCCGTACCTTAATTTATTAATTTAGTGCTGAATTTTGCTTTTAGTCTTCTATCAAATTGTCCTTAAGGTGCCTCAGAGCGAAATTCCTCCCACTCTCCATCCCTAGTCAAAGTTAGTCAAACTCCGGCCCTTTACTGACCTACTTCACGCAAGTAGGAAGTCACTAGCTAAGGTTCTTATCTGTGCTTTCTATCAGGAAAGATGATTAGCATGAAGTTGTAGTGCCCTCAAGAAAAAATGAAGGGTTGGTTAACTCACGGTGGCCTTGGAATGAGATGCTTTCCAGCCACTGCGTCAGTTAGTTGAACTCGGTGCTGTTTCTTACAAGAAATGCACATAAGTGCTGTTTGTTTTATTCATTTTGCGTGAAGTCGATTTTTCAAAATAAAAAAATACCCTGGCGTTAAGCTGATGCATCTGTTAGTGCGTAATTTCTTTGTTCCCAAGGCCTCTGAAGCAAATTATGTGTACTTTCTCAATAGGCCACATTGCTTAGGGAGTAAGGAATAAGACTGCTCGATCACTGGAACCAGTTGCCTATTTTTAGAGTGAATCCGTGTAGGAGTTCATCGCCAAATATAGAATTAATAACAGAGCAACGGATGACTATAGTTAAGGGGGGCGGGGTGGGGTATTAGCCAGTGCGCGATGAGTGACGTAGGTTTGGATGTCTGCGTGAACCTCCGTATACTGGGGCCAAATCAATAAATCGATCGACTGAGTCCTCATCCGAGGCCCAGGCTTCAATCACCCCTCAAATTTTCCTGCTCTTCCTCTTTGAGGTGTGAAAAACGAAGTGAAGCTTACATACCACCTAAATGACGAGTCTTTGCGCCTCCGAGTCACAGGCCTGACCGGCACAGTTGTCAGCCGAAAGGAAGCAGTGTGCTGTGCCTACTCTCCCGTCGCAATCAGTATTCCATCCTCTTGGTGGTCAGCCAGTATTGAAAATCGCCCTTTCTAATTATATTCTAGTAGTTTGACGGCCT